TCAGATGACCTGGTAATGTTTTTTTTTTGTTGTTGTTACTAACAATTTACCTCATGCAATGTTTGAGATACACTTATATTTTAGAAAATTGTTAATTGGACTTAAATTTTTAATTGGGCATCTTATATTTTATCTGACAACCCTCCTTAAGTGTCATTATGTCATTTATTTGTGCTCTCTGTCTTTCTGATATGTCAGTCATGCCTGGCTACTGAGATGATGGATGTTTCACAACTCTGAGTCTCCAAAGGGATATGACAAATGGAGCCCCCTGCTGGCCTGCTGTGGCCTGTGGTATGCATGAGAAACAATCTTTGAGGCTGGAGAGGAGGCTTAGTGGTTAAGAGCATTTTTTTTGCTCTTGCAGAGGATCCAAGTTTGGTGCCCAGACCCAGATTGAATGGTTTATTATCACCAGTAACTCCAACTCCAGGGGGATCCAACCCCTCCGGCCTCCGTGGGCAATTGCACTCATATTCACATACCTATGCACAGATACATATAAGAATAATAAACTGATATTAAGGACCATTGAAAATGTCTTATGGAAACTTACTACTATAGAAGCTTCCTAAAATATATACATATACACATATAAAATGGTTTTAAATTGAATTACTCTATAATGGGGGACAGTGCCTCCCCCAGACACCATAGGGTATCAGATATAAAAATCAGAACCAGGTATACATTGCTACCATTTTTTTTTTTTTTTGGTCTTTTTGAGACAGGGTTTCCCTGTAGTCACAGCTGGCCTGGATTCACTATGGAGACCAGGCTGGCCTTGAACCCACAGAGATCCACTGGCCTCTGCCTTCCAAGTGCTAGGATTAAGGGCGTGTGCCACCACACCCAGCTAGATTGCTACTTTTTGAATCATTGGGCAGTGAGTTCCTATAGACCTTCTCCCCCAAACATTACAGGCTTTTACCATTGCTCTTAGTTACTCCCAAGAATTTGATGTTAAAACCCTGTTGCTGAAAACAGCAGATACCTGAGTCACAGGGCATAGAAAAATCAAGCTGGTAATGACCTGGAAGCTTCATTTATACTGGCTAGCTTTCATGATGCTGGAAGGTTCTATGCATGCTATTGGGGAAGAAAAGTCATCAACAGATTTACCCAGTTGTGAACCCTGTGAGCTACAATAACAATTGGCCTGGTAAGATATGTCCAAATGCCAGAGTGGCATAAATGTTATGGGAGTAACCAAGCACTTCCTGATTGAATTTCAAGTCTTCTCCACAAGATGGAAACCATATCTGGCACTGTGAACTGTAGTACCAGAACAAAACAAAAACAGAACAGGCCAAAAACCTGTGGCTGGCTAGGTCATAGACTCTAGGGGATAGCCTGGCACTCTTTTTTAAAAAAATATTTTTTATTTTATTTATTATTTTTATGTGTACATGTGTATGGCCTGCATGGAGGTAAGTGCACTTGTGTCATGCAATGCCCATGGAGGACAGAAGAGGCTGTCAGATTCCCTGGAACTGGAGTTATGGACAGTTGTTGGCTGCCATGTGGGTGCTGGGATTCAAACCTGGTTTTTTTGCAAGAACAGCCAGTGTTCTTAACAACTGAGCCATCTCTCCAGCCTGAGCCTGGTACTCTTATTCTGCTAAATTGACATAGTAATTAACTGCCCCCTCTGTTTTTATCTTGATACCTGTAGATTAGTACATCTCTCAGCCCGCACCAGAGAGACTTCTTTTTGCAACAGATAGTGATTAATACAGAGGCTCACAACTGGTCAGTGTGCAGAGAATCATAGAGTATGGAGTGCTCTGCTCTAAATGGGACATCAGTATCATGACCCTTTCCCCAAGGTTCAGGGATCAGCACATAAAAGCCAGGGTCAGAAAGAGTGAAAGAGCCAGAAGGAATAAATGACTGAAATGAAACAGCACAGTTATACACAGGAACTCACGACAGTTGGGACAACATGCACAAGACTCCCTCAAGTCAGCCAAATCCCAGCATGGGTACAGGAGGAGCTCATTAAATTCAACTCCCTTCTGAGAAGCTATTGGCAATTGATGGCTGCTGGAGGAAGGAGAGTCAGTTTCCTTCAGTGATGCAGAGCTCTGAGAGCCTATCCATGCTCCAGTAGATGGTCCCACACCCTTGTGCATACAAAGTGGACTCAGTGGGCATTGAAAAAAAGAGAGCACATGAAGTTTGGAAGGAAAGAATAGGAGAGGAATTACTGGGGAGAGACTAGAGGGTGTGGATTTGATCCAAACACATTGTATGTACATGTGAATATTAAAGAAAGAAAATGAAAGAAAAGAAATAACCTTTGTTGGTTAAACCACTGAAATTTTGGCTTGTGTTGTTACTGAAGCACACCCTAGCCTAACCTGATACAAGCATTGCCTGATGTGGAACTACATCTCATTCTGTGTGATAGGTGCTCTGTGGTATAGCAAGAGTGCCTTTTCCTAATGAAATCATTGTTCTGCATCTTTCCTTAAGGTGGACTTAGGTGAAGGCAAGATTTGCTTCTGTTGTGAAGAATTTCAACCAGCCAAATGCACAGACAAAGAAAATGCCTTGAAACTCTTTCCAGTTCAGCCTTGCAGTGCTGTTCACCTTCTACTTAAGGTATGGTGACTAGCTTATAACCCCTACAAAGTAATACACAAGGTCCTGCAAGGCGGCTACCTGAGATATTCCTATTCTGTGACTGTCCTCAAAAAGTTGCTGAAAGCAAATGGTTCCTCGTTAGTGACCCAAAGTCAGGATGGAGTACTGAAAGAACCACAAATTGAGTCTTAAATTATGTATGGAGAGCTTCCTTTGTGTTCAAGAAGTGTAGACTGGCAAAAAGGAGTCAAATTCTATATATGTGTAGATGCACACACAGCTGTGTTGGGGCTTTTGCAGAGCCTCAGATGCACTCTCAATTGGGAGTGCTGGGATGTTTAGTTGACAGTGTGAGTTGTATGAGCTTGTTGAATGCTTCCATTCTGTGACATATAAATCAATCAGAAAATACAGGAGAAACTCTTCTTTATATCTTGTTTAGTAGCTCATAATTATAATAAGTAGAAGAAAAAAAACTTTAAAAAGGATCCAGCTCAAGGAGAAATGCAGAATTAACCTTTACTAGGAAATTGGATAAAGACCGTAGCTTGACTGCAGTAGGTGACAGAATCAGTTGGTGGCCCCTGATGCATTAGCTTTTGATTAGCCTACCACTAGTGGTCTTTAGATCTTTGCTTTTTTTGAGGAGGAGGAACCTCAGAGAGAGAACTCTTCAAAGCTGCCAGTTTGTGCAGGACATAAAAATGGCCTGCTTGCTTGGCTTCTGCATATTTGATAATTGAGTTATCCTGAACTTCTGATCCTGACTTAGCTTTTGGGAATCCCCATGAAGGAGCCAGGGCTATAGCAACTTGGCTTTGATGCTATTTTGAGGAAAGAAGTTGTCCTTATTCACCAGCTACCCTGGCCCTGCTGGTCCTAGTTGGGTGCCTGGGGCAGCACGGGCAGTTGCTCCTGAAATAGAAGCAGTGGCTCTAAATTAAGCAGCAAGTTGTCCCCGATGGGAAGCGCCATCCCTAGAGGATACTAATTTCAGAAGGAAGTCTTACTGCTCTTCTGGAAGGAGTATTTCTAGATGTTATTCAGATGCTTGTAAAAAGTTGTCCTTCCCTGGACATTGACTCTGGTACCCCTGGAATTACCCAAATCTGTCATGTCCAAGCCCTTATATAAAATATACAGAATTTTCACATAACCTGCACACATACACCTACATGCTTGAACCATCTTTAAGTTGTTTGCAGTACCTGATCCAACGTAAGTATTTTGTAAATAGTTGCTGTACATGTTCAGCACAGAATTCGTTCTGAGTATTGTCCATTTTTGTTTAGTTGAATCTGTAATTATGATATCCCATTGACACCCCATGGATAAGGAGGACTGATCACACTGTGTGTAACACTAAGTCTTTCTGAGGCAGAGCGCTCCAAAGACAAGTTTTTAGGTTACTTTACTTTTTTTTTTGGTCTTTTTGAGACAGAGTCTCCTTGTAGCCCAACTGACCTGGACTTACTACAGAGACCAGGCTAATCTTGATCTCACAGAGCTCCATCTGTCTCTGAGATATGCACTCCCATGCCTGGCTCTTACTTTACTTTTTTGAGATGGAGTCTGGCTATGCAACCCAGACTGACCTGGAATTCAAGGTCTTCCTTATCTTAACCCTTCAGGATATTGAGAGTATAGATGTGCCTCACCATATCCAGTCTAGGTTGGTTTTATTTTTGTTTGTTTGCTTTTTTTTGAGCGGTGGTCTCACTATGTTGCCTAGTCTGGGTTGGAATTTTTTTTCCTGTTTTTTTTTTTTCTCTTTTATTGTGCAACAAGATCTCACTATGTAGCCCAGGCTGACGTCAAACTCTCCTCTGTCTCCCAAGTGCTAGGATTAAAGGTATGTACTACCACACCTGGCTTGGGTTTGAACTTGTGATCCTTGCCTCATTCTCAAAAGTAGCTGGGATGATAGGCAGTAGAATAAGGTTTTCAGTACGGACACACTCAGTGCTCTTGTTTCCATATTCCAGAAAGTCCTGTTCGCCCTGTGTGCCTTGAATGCCCTGACCACCACAGTGTGCTTGGTGGCTGCTGCCCTTCGTTACCTCCAGATATTCGCCACCAGAAGGCCATGCATCATAAGTCTGCGAGGTGGCACCGTGCCCTTTTCCTGCCCAGCCGCCCCAGGCCTACTACATAATCCATTGCTTTTCTGTTGCCTGTCATTGCTGTTTAATCAGGATGAATCCCAGATGTCTGCTGAAGACGTGGATGAGCATGGACGGATCCCAGACCCAGATGACTTTGTGCCGCTGGTGCCTCCCCCTTCCTACTTCGCCACATTTTACTCATGCACACCTCGAATGAACCGCAGGTATCTGTCCTCAGTCACCCTGGGTTCTCGGTGGTGGGTTCTGTGTTTGAAGACTTGAACGGTTTTCAGAACACATAGCTTAAGTTTCTACTTTTTTCCAGAATCCAGACAGACTGTGTTCTGAGTTAGCTCTTTCTCTGTCTTGTGGTTTCACTTGTCTGATAAACCAGATGAATCCAAAGAGAAATTAAACCTTGCCCTGCAGATATACTTTTTTCAATTTCAATTAGCTTCCTAAGAAGAACTGGCACCCAGGGAGATAATGGCTGTAATTTGACATGACTGAGAGTTTCTGTTGCCCTGGAAATACTCCCAGTTAGGCCAAATCGATATTTCATTATAACACCATCAGCAGGCCTCAATAATCGTGAAATTCTTTGCAGCCTTTAAAAAAAGATTAATTATTAATTGCATCTCTCTGGCTTAGAAAAAAATGAATATCAAACTTATTTTTCCTTTTCAAATTCTAGCTCAAAATTTGAACATTTTCCTCAAATCTAAAGAATCATCATTAGTTAGTGACCCCTAGAATTCAACCTTTAAAGAACCACCTAATTTATTCATTCAACAAATACTCCATCAATCCTCTAATTCCTACTCATTGGTGTGCTGGGTTGTGGAAATTCAAAATTAGTTAGACCTGCTTCTGCCCCTCCAAGCCAATAGCTCAGTGTAAGTCACTAAATGAGTGTTAGAAGGATCACAGTGGTACTCAAAAGAGGGACAGACAGGGCACAGAGGTCTTCTTAACTCAGAATAGTCAGATGGGTAAGCTAGTCATGCCTGGCTTCCTGGGAAAAGTGACCTCAAGCTGAGTTTAAACATTAAATGACTCTGTATTTAAAGCCCCCAAAAGAAAATGTTCGGATTCTACAGCAAGATTAATTAGTATCTTTAGGTTGATATTTGGGCACCAGACATTTCTATTTTTGAATATCTGTGGTATATGTAGAGTCATTGAATATCTGTAGTCTAGGCTTGATTAAAAAAACATTTTCTGATGTTCAAAGCAGCTATATATATATAAGTTTGAAATAGGTCCCGCCTAGGCATCAATAATGTTCTTTGAGTCCTACCTGACCCTCTTCCTGATCACCTGCCCAGGTGCCAGAGACGGTCACAAAGCCAGAGAGGGTATCTGCGGGGTAGACAGATGTCCCAGGTTGGTCTGGGATAGCTCAGCTTCTATTTGTTTGGGGACTGGCCTGCTGGTATTTCAAAGCTTTGGGTGTTAGGATGGAATGATTCCTACTCTTTCAGAAAATGATCTGAAAACTGCAGGTGCTGAAGAGTAATGGTAATAAAATATATTCTTTGAGTACCATAGGATACATTTCTTCAAACAGGCTGTCTGTGGAAGGTATGCCAGAGGACTGAAAAAATGACTTGTTGTGTGAGTGGTAAGAATGATGCATCTTCTTAGAAAATTCTGACTCTCTAGGGTTTGAGACAAGGAGGCAAAAGACAGGTTCAGTTTCCTGCGGTGTGGCTGACAGGGAGAGCAACTCCTGTGGGGTCAGTGGTCCTGCTGTCGAGCCACATGACTTACAGTCTCCTCACCTCGCTTTCTCTTCAATGCCCCAACATGATGCTTGTTAGTGTGGGTCCTTTGAATCTCCAAGGGCCCCTGTGCATCTTCAGATCTGCCCCTGTGAGTCCTGAGACAGCCATGGTCAAGTCCAGCCTGGAAAAGCCCAACAAGCTTCTCAATAAGAACTTTCCAGAAGTGGTAGAGAGGGATCAAGCAAAAGGGATTTGTGCAGAAGTCAAACATATGGCCTGTGGTCCTAGGCCATGTTGTCAGGGACCACATCCTCCCTCTCAGCTCTACCAGCAGCAGTACAGTCCATGTTCCATGTTTCTTTTGAAGGTGGCTGAATTTATTCACGTTTCGGTACATATTCTATCAAGGATATTTTTATGTAAGTAAAATTATTTATTTTTGCAGCATTTGGGGTAAACCTAGGACCATAGAGAGTCTAGACAACGATTACACTGTATTCCCTCCAAGCCTGCGGGTTTTTTACTTTTGTATTTTGAGACATAGTCACACCAAATTGCCCAGGCTTATTTTGAACACATTCTGTAGCCTCAGCAAGTATTGAACTGCAGTCTTCCTGCAGGAGGCGTTCTTGGCCTGTGCTACCAGGATGGCCGTCTGTTTGGGTGATATCATTAGATTAGTCATATAAATCAACTTAATAGATACTAGGTGTTGACTCTGATTGGTAATTCTCTTTCTTGTGAGCTGACAGGAAGGCTAGAATATGCTCAAAGGTTTTGTTCACAGATCCATAACCAGGTACATCAGGAGCTTTCACACCGCAGAGGCTGTACATTTCCTGTAATATATTCTGCTCTCTCAGAAATGGTCTATTTAGCTTCTATAAATAAAAGCACTTGTGCTCTTGTACCTTCTTGAGAAGGGGCTTCTCAAGTTACTGTCACAAGCAGAAATCTAACTGAAGTCGAAAATCTCTGTGAACACAGTGGTCTGCTCTGAGCATTGGTTTATAAGTATAGACGGATTTGTGCTCCCTCACTCCAGTACCTCAGATCTGTACCCTGGTCTCTGAACTTGGCTAGAACCAGGAATTAAAAAGGCAGCAACTGTGCCATTGTGTGCCTAGTGACTGGGTTCACCTCTTCAGTGGTCAGTGGGAGGTTATTCTTTGGTCAAGGATGCATCAGTTGCAGCATTTCACCTGGATAAGCTTTTAAGTCCCATTTGTAGCCTTAAAGCAGAGCCAATTTTGGATTTCTTTTTGAGTTTCCTGTTTGTCTCAAGCTCATGATCATGGACCTGGGAAAGTTTAGAGACCTTTGATGAACTTGAAAGAGTGTGGACTCTGGGATCTAGTTAGTGGTGACCCTGGGCTGATTTCTTACCATGTCTGAGACTTGGCTCTGTGCTGTCCCATAGCTACTGGGAGCATTGTTATGACACAAAATGTCTTTTTAAGAACCAAAGCTTAGCCATTGTCTTAGACTTTTTGTGCTTCTGTGATACAAAGAGCACTGAGTAATTTATAAAGAACATTTAATTCTCATGGCTCTGCTCTGGGGGCTGCGAAGTCCCTAGTCAAGGTGCTGGAAGGTTTGGTCTCTGGTTCCAAGCTGGTGATTCATTTCTATGTCCTCACATAGAAGAGCAAGAGAGAAAGAACTCAGTCCTATAGCCCTTTCCATTGAGATATTGATCAGTTCGCGAAGGCTCTGCCCTCATGACCTAAACTTCTCCCCAAAGACTCCGTCTCCCAATGTAATTGCACTGTGTATCATTCTGTTTCTGACACATGAATTTAGGGGGCACACCTACCCCGTGCCAGCCATGCCCCATCATAGTTTGTCGTGTGGTTTAAAATATTCTTGCCATGTATCTGACTCTTAAGAGACTTTCTTAAGAGTTTTTGTGCATTTTATATACTAGATCTTAATCAGATTTAGACCCCCTCACCCACCCACACCCCCATAGCTCCCCTCCACCACTGGATTTATGCATTCTGTCATATATGCTAAGGCCTATCTAAGACCTTCATTCTTTTGTTTGTTTATTGGCTATTTGTTTGTTTATTGGACATTTGCATGTACGTGCATGCATGCTATGGTTTGTGTATAAAGGTCAGAAGACAGCTTGTAGGAGTCAGTTTTCTCTTTCTACTCTATGGGTTCTGGAGAGAGAACTCATAAAGACCTTCATTGTTAATAAAAATCTGACTGATTTCCCCAGGAAGAGCAGGGCTTTGCCTTGACCCTCCAGATCCATTTCCTTTTTCAGTGGAGCTCATTGTACTGTGCATTAGAACCATCCAAGAGACAGGTGGCTGAACTCATACAGATACCTGTGACAGGCAGTTAGAGCAGTCTCCTGAGCCAGACCTGGGCCATCCCTGGTTTTAGAACCTCCCAAGCTCATTCTGCTCCATTGCTAGGGCTGAGCCATCATAAAGAGCCCCTGGGAAAAGAACCTGCCAGGAAATAACAGACCTATTTATCCCAATGAATTATTTGCCCATGTGATGTAAAATAAAAAAGAGGCTTAGAAGGAAAGGAGCCTTCCTTCTGCACTGATTCTGCAGGGTCTCCGTCATTTGCAGCATTGATGGCCATCATAACCTCCATAAGAAATCATTCGTTTTGTCGTCATGTTGGGTAAAATGCCGTCCTCCCCCTCCCCCCTGGTTTTCCTTCTGGCAGAGATTCTGTAGTACTTTAGGATCTGAAATGGAAGCTTACTCTCCTGACCTCTTGGCCCTTGGAAAGCTCCCCTTGCCTCTGTGGATGCAGTGATAATTATTGGGAATGTCTAAGGCCATCAGAGATAACAGACAGGCAAGCAGAACTGGGGGCAGTAACTAATTCCCTAGGCAAGGTACCCAGCAGTCCTGTGCTTCTGTCTTTGCTGAAAGGGCCAAGGCCAGGGTTTGTAAGGGTTGAAAAGATGGCTCATGGGGCTGTGGCAGCTAGAGATTGAAGACTCCAGAGAGTATGTCGGCCTCCCTGTTAAAACAATGTGTTATTCATTGGTCAAGAATTTCCTACTAGATCCAGAAAGGGTCTTGTTTCTAGGCATCACTCAGTAGTTCACGCTCTTACACAGCTTCTTGGACAGTTGGGATGAAAGCCAGGTGCAAGTCCTAGTCTGAGGAGAATATCTCCTTTAGGGGCCTGCGAACACCCCCTAAGTTAGGTACCACCACATAACCTCTCTTCCCTTCAGGGCAGACATTTTGTAAATGAGCACAAGGAATAAAATGAATTTTAAAATCCAGATAATGCCTCTCCCCCTCCCCAAATCAGTCCTTTGAATTTGACTTTGAATCTGTCTTTTCATCCATCTCTTTAAGGTTTTTCCCCCCTTATTATCACATCCTAAAAGCAGATATTGAATTTTTTTTGTTATGGGTGTTGGCGTTGGGTTTTGTTTCCATTCTCTAGTACTTCAGAGCCTGAGTACAGGGTTTTCTGTTTTGTTTTGGTCCTTTTAGTGTAATTTATAATTATTTTAAAATTTAAATTTCCCATTTTCTGGTTTCTTTCCTTCCTTTTTTGGTTATTTGCTATGAACATTGGCAGAAAATCTTGTTCTGCTTTTTATTTTGCTATTGAGGATCCTTCAGTCACAGAGAAAACAAACAGCAAAAACTTATTTAAGAGTACTTAAAAAGGAAAAAGCACCTAACTATTTGGTTGGGAGGAAGACAATTGAGAAAGAAAAGCTGTGATTCAGTGCTTTTTACATGATAAAGTAGAGGCATCATAACAACTTGTAGTGGTGAATGTAGCAAACAGTACTATCAGAGGATAGTTCCCCACTTACAGAACAGAAGTGGTGGAAAGGGGAGAAGGGGCTAAAGGACAGTAGAAATAGTTAAAGCCAGAGGGCTAGTTAGGGAGGAAAAGAAGTTCAGGGAGAAATTAACTCTAAGTCAGCATTTAATCAAGTTCACAGGATGTGGAGTCCGTTTGTCTTCTCAGGTCAGCTTCTCTGTATCTTAGTGAGAACCTTTGAAAGTTCCTTACCGAAATATTGAATTAGTTATAGCTTTGTCATTGGGGGTGGGGTGTCCGTATTCCAAATGAACACAGTTCTTTTTGTCAAGGTAGCTGGATTTATTATATCAAGTTAGGAGAAAACAGAATACTGGCCTTTATCCTCCTCTTCCACTATCCTTACTACGGCTCTGTTTTTAAAAAATCTTATTTATTAATTTTATTTTATGTACATGCATGTATTGTCTGCATGTGTGTAAGTGCACCCATGTTGTGCATTGCCCATGGAGGTCAGAAGAAGGCACTGGATCCCCTGGAACTGGAGTTACAGACAGTTGTTAGCCGCCATGTGGCTGCTGGGACTCAAACCTGGGTCCTCTGCAAGAGCAGTCAGTCCTCTTAACCACTGAGCCATTTCTCCTGTCCAGTATGGCTCTGTTTTAAAATTTCATCCCATCCCTTACACCTGACATAGTGCTTGGCATGGAGCAGGCCTTTCGTCTGGGTGTGTAGAATGGCTCACCTGAGCAGTCATGGAGTCACTTTGTGATGCCTCCTGGATCCTGTTTTGTCTTAGAGCCATGGCAGGGCCTACCTTTTTTGATGGCTTTTTTTTTTCTTTCTTTCTACTTCTTGGATGCTGTCAGGGAATCAGTCTCTTTGGCTTCACATTCCCCCCAACTTTTGATTGAAATTCATTCATCCTTTAAAATTTTTTTAAATTATTTTTTAAATTTTATTATTTTTATTTTATGTGTATGCATGTGTTGCCTGCATGTAGGTAAGTGCACCTGTGTAGTGCAATGCCTGCGGAGGTCAGAAGAGGTGGTCAGATCCCCTGGGACTGGAGTTACGGACAGTTGTTAGCTGCCATGTGGGTGCTGGGATTCAAACCCAGGTCTTCTGCAAGAACAACCAGTGTTCTTAACAACTGAGCCATCTCTCCAGTCCCTTATTATTTTTATTTTATGTGTATGAGTGTATCACCTGCATGTACCTAAATGCACCTATGTTGTGCAATGCCAAGGAGGTCAGAAGAGAGTTCCCTAGAATTGGAGTTATGGATGGTTGTTAGCTACCATGTGGGTGCTGGGAACTGAACCTGGGTCCTCTGCAAGAACAGCCAGTGCTCTCAACTGCTGAGTCATCTTTCCAGCCCCATTTATCCTTTTAAATAATAATAGTTTCTTTCATGAATCAGACATTAGGGAAATAAAGGCAGGAGAATTTGGCCATGTACTAATTATAGGAGATACACACTTTCCTCACATCCTTAGCTTTTGTGACTGTTGTTTGTAAGTTGTTTACACTGTATTGTGCAACCACTACCTCTATCTAGTTCCAAAGCATTATCCTCCCTTCTAAGGAAATGCCATATCCACAGTCACTTCCCAGTCCCCTTCCCCTAGAGCCCGGCAGCTGCTCATGTTTTCTGTCTCTATGGATTATTGTTTGCTTTTTCATCGAATGAAGGTGTTACATTTTACATGCTGTCATTCCCCTAATGGCCTGTGGTCATTCTGTCAGAGGACAGCTTGGATAGTGCTTCTGCTTCTGGACTGGGTTACTGTCCTACAGGGGGCTAAATAGTTTTCCCCCAGTCTAGAGGCAAAGGCCAGGGGTTCCAGGAACTGCTGCATTCGGAGGGCCAATGTGCAGGGCATGTCTGCTGATGCCTAGGTGCTCTTCCTAGGATGATTGGTCCTGATGTCATTCCACTGCCGCACATCTACGGAGCAAGAATCAAAGGTGTGGAAGTGTTCTGTCCTCTGGACCCCCCACCTCCGTATGAAGCTGTAGTGAGCCAGATGGACCAGGAGCAGGTATGTCCAGAACAAACAGGAAGTGCAGTACATCTCACAGAGAACATGCATCCCATGCCATCTGAAGGAGTTGACTGGGGTCCAATGAGCAGTAAGTTGAACATCATAAAAAATAACCTGCTTTTTTCCCCATCTCCTGTGCTGCAGGAGTCTTCATTCCAAATGCCTGAAGGACCAGAAGCTGCTGCAAGGCCACTAGAGCCTGTTTGCACACAAGCAACTCAAGGTAACAGACACATTTTGGCTGCCCAGAGCCATGATTCAGTAAATGAAAACTTGGCAGAATAATGATTGGTGTTTTGCTGGAGGTCAGGTATTCTTGGAACAAATGGTTCTGCATGCATCTTTTTGGTCAGGGTTAAAATAGCATCAGCTCTAGGGGTTTAGAAGTAGTATCTAATATGTGAACAGGAAAAAGAAAAGATTGTTAAAAAACAGAAAAAATATTTAAAAATCCTTTCATGAATAATCAGACTATTCTCAGGAATCTGTGAAATAAATTGGAGTCTAATTTGTTTGTTTGTTTGTTTGTTTGTTTTTTGGTATTTTTGAGACAGGGTCTCTCTGTAGCCCCAGCTGTCCTGGAACTCACTATGTAGACCAGGCTGGCCTTGAACTCACACAGATCTACCTGCCTCTGCCTCTGGAGTGCTGGGACTAAAGGCTAATTTGTTATTTCTATGTTTTCTAATCTATTTCTTTGGATAAAATAAGTTGGGCACCTTTGAAGGAATGTGAGTTCTACACATATTTCAGAGTGGTTTGCTGTGTATTCACACTGTGTCATTTATAACCGAAGGTCCTGGCCACTCTGTTTTAATATCTATAGAATTGAGTTTTTTTTTCCATGGTGTGGTAGAGTCAATTTACATTTATCCTTGTAATTTAAGGACACCATTGTTATAGCTTTCTCTCTTTGGGGAGGTTTTAAATGACTCAGAGAACTGTCCACTGGCACAAAATTGCAAATGGTAATAAATAATGGATTGACTTCAGCTATTTCAGATAGAGGTAATTTTCAGGAGTGCTGGTCAGAATGGCCTTCTGTTCATCTTACAGTTTTGGAAGGTAGTCTAAGCCTTTGAGCTATACCCCTAGTCCTGCTGTCTATGTTAAGCAGAATTATAAAGCAGTGTTCTGTTATCTTAAGTATATTTGTGATTCCTTCTTTTTTACAAGTAATTTCCCAATCTGCAACTCCTCCTGAGCAGGGGTCATCCAGTTTCAGTGTGGTTTGCTGATTTATTTAGCAGCCACTGGCTCCTTGAATGAAACTGTCCCAACCAGGGCACACTCTGGGCTAGGCTGATGCACCCTCTGCTAGCCTTGAATCTGCAGCCCATAGGGCAGCCCCCTCAAGAGTATGGGTGGCTCCTCCCCGGAGAGTGAGATGCTCTGAAATGCTTTGAAGCTTCTCCAAGCTACTCAAGATGCTGGAGTAAAGAGGATTCTAATCTCTTCTAGAAAAACCAATAAGCCCTGATGTTCTGGCAAGGCTCTTAATTTTGCCCTTTGTGCTTATCAGTTTTTTGTTTGTTTGTTTTAGGCATGGTTGGATGATTTGGAAAGGAAGATTTTCCCATAGTACTGGAAATAAAAGCTGTTTGGGCCATCAGCCTAAGTAAATGTTATTGACTAGATCACACTTGCCCTGGCAGGTTTGGGCTCACAGGTGTTTCCTGACCAATGTTTTGAAAGCTACTGCTGTTGAAATAATTTATGTTTCTTTTATGAAAAAAATCAGGTGGGGATGTTCCTAACATACCTGCTGAAGAAAACACGTCTGTATCAACTTCCATTTCCAACCTGGCACATCCTCCCAGAAGTCGGAGAGCCTTCCTACCTCTGAGGACAAGATCAAAGAGTGACCCTGTGCTACACCATTCAGAGGAAAGAGGTGATGCTATTTCCCAGGCTCTAGGTAGACCACTGTGCTTATTTGTCTGGTGCCAGATACTGATGAAGGTACCAGGTACAAGCAGGTGGCTCTGGCTAGCCAAGGGCCCTGCAACTTTAAGCAGTGCCTTAAAGGAGGTTAAGGAGTCTTGAGAAAATAAGAAATTCTACATTCACATTAGGAAAATACATGTGGCACTTCTTTTTAAAAAAATTATTTGTGTGTGTGTATATGTGCATGTGCGCGTGCATGCCATAGCACACATATGGCGGTTGGAGAACAACTTGTGGGAGTTGATTCTCCCTTCTACCATGTGGGTCCTGAGGCTGGAAGTCAGGTTGGTAGGTTGGTAGAAAGTGCCTTTACCCAATTAGACATTTCACCGGCCTGACACTTCTTTTAAAGCTGGTAGAATTTGTCTCTGAGGTCATCATCAATAGCGTTTGGTTGCACATGATGCTGTGCTAGGCCTCACTACGTTATATAAACTGCATTCTGATTTCTAGTTGCTTGCAGTCCCATGGGATCCGTCAAAGGTGGATTTTGACTCCCTCCTCCATAATTTTGTATTTGTTATCCTTTTTACTATGAGCAGACTTAATTGTTGGAATCTGACCATGTTTTAAGAATGAAACACGCTCATATACTTCATGTTGAATAACTTAAAATTTAAAAAATATTTTTTCTGAATATGTGAATGCCCAAACATCTCCAAATATCTCTCATTATAAAAAAGGCAGCAAAGGATTCAGCTAACAACTGAAAGTCCAGCGGGGGGGACTTCTTTGGGGGAGCTATTCTAGAAGCTGGGTTCTGCTCATCTGAAACTATGCAAATGAACTTTGGACATCCTCTAACTTGTTCTCTTGGGGCTTTCTGGCCCTTGTGGTCTCTATTCTGTCCCTCTGACAGTGTGTGTCATTTGCCACAATTCTGGATTGACCATGTGGGCACCACAGAGGACACTCCTCTTGTCTCTGCAGCAGCTTCCAGGTGGGGAGGAAGTCCCGCCTCCTTGGACTAGCTCTGTGCCTCTGCCACCCAGTAGACAGGGTAACCTGACATCGAGTCTAAGATTCACCTTCATTGTGTGTCTCCTGTTGTACTTAGCAAGCTGAGTATGCAAGCTGGTCATGTGCCATATGTGTTTGTACAGTGAAAGGAGATCTTTCCGGACCCTGTTTCCGTTTTGTAGCCTTACGGAAGCAAAGGCAACTTACATTTACCTGTTGGATTGATTCACTGGGGGAGGTACCAGGTTACCTTCAGTGAGCGAGTGTAAACCCAACTCTATCCTCACACATGAATGTGTGATTTTTGGTAGACTTGCTCTCTATAACAAGTACATGGCAAGCTGGAAGGACAGCGTCTACCCTGGTTCAGAGCTTTTCATGCTCACCTTTCTCCAGAAGAAAAGGAACCCTTCCCTTCTTCCACTTGCCCTCCCACCTTCTGCTGCCTGTCTTTCAAGAATACCTAAATTTCCATGTAGCAGACCTTCACAGATTGAAGTTGCCAGAGTTGTGTATGCTGAAGGTTGCTGGTGACTTGTAGACTAGACCTGAGTGTCACATCACCTACTTCATGGTGAAATACCTCCTTTACAGATGGCGGTAGCTATGGAAGTAAGAACCTGCAGTGAATTTACAGACCCTCTGTTGACTTCTGGAGGGATATAATTTTTCTGCACTTAAGCTTTCTGTAATACCCATAGATCTACCTCATTGCCACAGTGTGAGCCTCAGTAATAGAACTCAGTACAACAGTACCCTTGAGGGTGTTTAGGAGAAGGTACAGTGAAAATAAACATTCTGCTCATCCCATAAGTCTCATCTCTCTCTAGTCTTTTCCTTTCTTTGCCTCCTTCATACTCACCTGGAATATTCTTTCATTGGTCAACCATGTTGTTTTCTGTTTAACTATCCATTGTCACCTACCTGCCGTACCTTAGCAAACATGCTCCATTGCGGTTTGCATTCTAGATTCTGTCTGGGTCACCTTTCTTTCCTCGGGGACCGTGTTTATGTGACATGATTCAGTGTCTTGGGACATAGCCTATTGGAAGTGTACTTCATCCAATAAGCTTGTTCTTCCCTTCTTCTGCAAGATGAGAGTGAGATGTACATGCATGGCCTTGGGCATCTGTCAGATACTGTCCACACTGAGCTTTGCGGCCAAGTGTTCAGAGGGGCTTACCAATGAGGACATGTTGTTTTCCTCTGCCCACAGCTATCCCAGTGCTCAGCTGCGAAGCTGCAACTCAGACAGAAAGGAGGCTGGATCTGGCCACTGTGACTCTGAGGCGAGGCGTGAGACCACGGGCATCCAGATGCAGGCCCCGATCTTTGATAGATTACAGATCTTACATAGACACCAAGCTGCTGGTGGCCAGGTTCCTGGAGCAGTCTTCCTGTAGCATGACCCCGGACATCCATGAACTTGTAGAAAATATAAAATCTGTTTTGAAGTCCGACGAGGAGCACATGGAAGAAGCCATCACAAGTGCCGGTTTCCTAGAACAGGTACTGTCATTATCAACATCAGGCATGCATCCAGTAACTGGTTTCCACAGCAGCTAAAATGGTTTCTCTGATTTCTGTCCATGGCAGAGAATAAGTTCGTTGACACAGTCTCTAGGGAAGCAGGGGTCAGAGGTCAGGGGGCAGAAGAGAGGAAGCTAGAGAGCTTTCCTTCCAGGCATCATCATTTTCCACAGTGGTCTTGACCTAAGGGAAGAGAACCTAGTTTTCTAGAATATGGAAGCATGCTGGAAAAAATAAAAGATCCTGGAACCATTGGAGCCCATCCAACTTTTGATTTCCTGAAGTGCAGGCTGCCCTTGATATGGTGTGTTTTCCCAGCCTTAGAAATGATGATATAGGTGAATCTTTTTTTTTTGGTCTTTTTGAGACAAGGTCTCCCTATAGCCCCAACTGGCCTGGAACTCACTATGTAGATCAGGCTGGCCTTGAGCTAACAGAGATCCACCTGCCTCTGTCTCCTGAGTACTGGGATTAAAGGCATGTGCCACCACAGTTGGCTTAAAATAGGTGAATCTTAATATTGGTAAGTTTCTGAGAGCTGTTCACATTCCTATGAATTCCTTGGCCAGATAACTGAGCTGATAGGACTTAAAGGAGCATACAGTCTTTCTTTCCATAGATTCAAAAGTAAAAAGCAGCCTAAGCTGAAGCTATCCAGGGAAAAAATAAAATTGGGCATTCACAGAATCATTTGGGCCTCAGGTTTCTCTAAAGGGACGACTAGGTGGTCTCTGGCCCTGTGTCTAAAATGGAAGTGAAATTTTCTACCAATAAGGACATCCTCTTTATCCTATTAAGAGCTCTTGTCATCTTTGGGGTATTTACTGACTCCTCTGGGTCAGTGGGTAGACACTATAGACACAGTGCACCACAGCATAGTGTTATCTGGCTCTGTGCCTTTGTGCATTAAGTGCCCAACAAATTCTTCTTACACTGAGTTGGGCCAGTTCTCAGAATAATCACCAACTCCTGCATTTTAGGTGAATTTAAATGAATCCCCTCCTCACTTTTCTTTCTGTTCTCCCTTTCTACCCACTGGCCTCTTTTTACCAAAGTCAGAAGTTAGAGTCTTTTCCTCAGGATCCCAAGGGAAAACAGTAATCTGATTAGTCAAAGTCGGGGACCCTTGATTTACAGACCTTCGCTCAGGCTTGCTCTCTGAGAGGTCAGTCAGGGGTTCTGGGTCAGGCTTCAGTTGGTAGCTTGAGGAGGTGGACACTTCCACTTGGCATCTCTGATGTACTCTAGTTGTCATGCCTGCCCCCAGCCCTCTGTCCAGCCCCAGTAGCCCTGGAGATGGGAGCAAGATTTGGAATTGCTTCTTGAAGGATGCAAGCTGTGATGGAGAAAGTGCTAGAGCATCCAGCAGGTGCTTGGTTTGCAGTTCTGAAAAGTCTTGCCCCTCAGAATGTAAGGTAAAAGTAAAACAGGCACCTACAGTTCAGTAGATGCTATGATTTCAAGTGTTTGCTAGAGCCACATGCCCCAGACCAGCTAAGAGTTCAAGTATGGAGGTTATAGTGGCAGACTCCGGGCATCAGCCGAGGCCCTCTACTTCTGAACTCCACGGTAGGGTATCAGTGCCAGACTCCTCCCCAGACAAAAGGAAGTGAGGACAGTGCAAGAGTGCCTTTTATTTCTGACTCGATTCAGCTTTGCAGACCTTCTTCAGTATGAATGGACTGAGTTGTTAGATCCATTTTTCTTGTCCCCGATATAAAAATAACACTTGTTATTTAACAGTCAAATTTAATGACTGTCACAATTGTCTTCTTAATCAGGAGACAAGGACAGGTCTCACAGATGAGTATAGCAAAACTTAATATTGAAATTTTGGGATAGTAAACAGTTGATGACCGTGAAAGGTTAGAATGGTACAGATGAAACAGACTCCCTCCGAGTGATTGTCCTGTGAGGTGAGCTGGCAACGAAGCTCCTGATTCTTTCCCAAGGCACTAAACAGTATCATAGGCCGTAGTGTCAGTTGGTCAGTCCTCCCCTCATCAGTCCTTGATGGATGGAGGAGTAATTTTCCATATTTTTGTATTTTTACAAAGTAAATGATACTGTTATCCATTTAAAATTATGTATGTGGTACATTCCAAACGAGTCTAGCAGTACAAACCATTCTTCAACTGTTTTTACTCTAAAAAAATTAAGGTGGAGAGTGGTACAGGAAGACCCCTACTGGTTCCCACATGCACACACATAGTCAAGCACACCACACACGTGTGCACACACATACTCCACCTACCCACACACACCAAAAACCAAACAAACAAAAACCAGCCAAGCTTCCCTGTAGACCGAATTGGTGGCGGGAGGGACTTCACATTGGTAGCAAGTTACAGGACCACACCCTCTCCAGGCCTAGGAATCACTGACTTGGAACACAGGGAAACTGGAGAAATATGAGAAAAACAATGTTAACTATTCAACAAGATTGACAAGTGTGGCCGATCTACAGCTGAAGCAATAGAATTTTTGGAGAATTTCTTTAAAAATTTGGGAAGGAGGCAATGTGTTCACGGCATCTCAGGTTTCTAAATAAATTTTACTTTTGGAAAATACCCTTTTCTTTTCTGAAGCAATTAAACATTAAAATTCCTGGGTGGATACAGGAGTGGTGGGTCAAAGGGCCAGCCCTGGTGAAGCGTGAAGCTCACTTCCTTCCCTCCCCTCCTCTTTTCCCAAAGATAATGGCCCCGCCCCAGCCCAGAGCTTCCCAGGCCCTCACACTGCCCTCAAGGAGACAGCCTGGCGTGCTGCACCTGCGCAGCTGTGGAGACCTGAGTACCTTCGCCCTGGCCGGAAGACCGAGAGCTGAGAGGCCACAGCGGCGAGCGGAGGCTGAGAGGCCACACAGCCTCATCGGTGTCATCCGAGAGACTGTTTTGTGAACCAAGGGAAGGCCAGTCCAAGGGAAGGGTGTCCCTGCTCTGTGCTGTTTACTGGCTGGGAGTTGGGGTCCCATTCTGGGATCCCTTCAAGAAGGGGCCCTCGGGGAGAATACCCATTCCTGCTTTTTGGCTTCTTTTTTTTTTGGCTGATGAGAGCACTCAGGTGAACTTGGGTGAAATAGGTTCTTCCTGGCGGTTTGGGTCTTCTAGTCACCCTTTGAGTTTTTGTGCTACAGATTGAGGGTGAAGGCTGTGAGCTCTCCTTCCTCTGTTGCATCTTGCAGCATCCCCGAGGGGCACACGCTGGATATGGGCAGGAACCAGTATCAGGAGTCTTTGGCTGCCTTACCCCTATGCCTCTTGTCAGTGCCAAGTTCATTCTGTCATTGTAAGGACAGAGATGCTGGGCTGCTATTTATAGTTGCCTGCAGCCTTTGGCTGCTCAGGGAGAGGAGTTGGCAGGCGACATGGTCTTTAATCCCACGTGACTGCAGCCCTCAAGCCTCCTCCAGGTCACCCTCCAATCCCATTCTCTTCAGGAAAAGCAGGAGACTTAACTAAGTGGCAGTTTTTAATGAAGGCATTAAGGGAGAGGACTCTGCTGGTTCCATTTATTCATGCTTGCAAACTAGAACATGTAAGGCAGACCAGAGAATAAACCATTGACTTTGGACTTCTGGACCTCTGGACTCCATGTGCAGTATTTGTGTGTGCTCAGGGGGCCAGACCTTTATCTCATGGTCTGGAACGTCCATGCCCCAACAGGCTACCAAACCAGTTTTACTTCTAAAACACTTGAACCCTGCAGATAACCATGTGTCCTTCATGCATTAGGGAAGTCCTGGGCTGACTTTTGCAAGTGCTGGGCTGAGTGGCTGCCTGGAGCTGCATTCTCCTGGGGCCACAAACAGCAATCAATAAAGCAATTATTGAAGGGATTAGGGCTAAGCAGTAAGGGGGTAGTTAGGGAGGGCTTTTCTGAGGAAATGGCTTTTGAGCTGGGACTTGATGTTGAGGGTCAGGAACAGATAAACCAGGCAGAGAGGCCAAGTGTGCTAGAAGTGACGCAGACTTGTGTCAGGAGAAAGCTGGGCAGAAACCTGGAAAGCTGTGTTCTACTCTTAACAGTGAGATGCCTTGGAAGTTTCCAACAGAAGAAAGTTTAGCCATATTTTCAAAAGGTTATCGGGGGGGGGGGGGGTATGGAGAGATGG